TTAACTCTCGCGAGATCACGTTTTGAAGTGATTGGTCATTAATTATCCTGACCTTGACTTCCCTGTAAATAGTGTGTTGGAATAAAGTTTAACGTTTTACTAAAAGTACGCCTTCCTTACGTCGATGACTTTGCCGTTGAGGAGCCACTTGACTTCCGCCTTGGGTTTGGTGAGTTCCACGGCGAAGGTGACGTCCTCCCCGTACTCGCACTCGGCACCGTTCAGACTCGACGTGAAGCCGGCAGGGATTTCTGGGCAGCAGAACAACAATACGCTTTATTTATTGCACATTTTTGCCACCCTTGGCTAAGTACAGGTCACAACAAAACATGATGAACAGATACAGCTAACAGATACAAAAGTAACTAACTTTCGTTATATAAATTCAACTTCTCCCTTTTGAGTTATTGTAGAAATAAAGGAACAGATGTGTTTTTCGATGCAGGGATTTCTGAGCAGCAAACAAGACCAGGTTTCATTTATTATAGGACATATCATCGTCACAAACCCACAATGTTTGTTCTCCGTTCATGCGTTTGTCTGCGTTGGTGGTGGCATAAAAATATAAGCTGAAAAAAAACTGAGTGTGCGACAGCTGTCGCCATGTCTTGTAATATATGTTGGAATAGAAAAAACATACAACGTGCGATCGAGGATATCGCGTCTAAAATCTATGACCTATGAATTTGAGTGTCTTGTCATTTTTCTTATGTTAGATTAAGTTTACAAGAGGCAGCGAGAATATAAGCTGTGTACAACTTGAATCCACCGTCATTTTGTCTTTATCCATTTATTTTTAGTATTTGATGCTTCTCTGAATTAAAAAAAAGCAGGTTTCTACGCAGGTCTAACCGATGAGACACTAGCCCGTCTGTCCTGTACCGATGTGCTCTAGTTCCAGTGTTGACTGAAGGTAAGTAGCGGCGGCGGGCGGGATCCAGTTACAGGATTATCACAGAAATACCACATGTTTTATCGACCAGTGCGTCACCTGTGTATTATACGGTCGTTATACCAAGATCGTATCTTTCTTTATATATTCCAACATTTCAAGACTAGACATGGTGACAGCACCCTCAAGTTATATCAACTTATTTTATGCCGCCACCAACGCAGGGGACAAATACAGGACAAGAAAATAATCAGGAAAGCTGTGTAAAGTGCCTTTCTGAAGGGCACAAGATCGTTGACATGTCAAGACTCGAACCCGGGACCTCTCTTGGTTCCAAGTCGAGCACGCTACCGCTACGCCACACGACCCCACATCGTATCTTTATCTTCTTTATTCTTTATTTCAGGTAAAAGAAGTACCTATTACTTACAGGAGGTATGGAAGGAAAATAATCGCTTTAAAAACGAGTAACAAATCCTCACCCGCCGAGTTTCAAATGTGTATGTCAGTGTAGTGGTAAACAAACATCTCGCTAGCACTACATCGCCGAGGTAGGTTCATAATAATTCTAAAGCAATTGTTGCGGTATCATACTTTAAGTGAAGATCCGGTTATATATAACGTATCATGCACCTACGAAGTATACGATGGTTGGTTTTCTACTTCGGAAGACCCTGCCGCACGGCGTAGAGTTGAGAAGAAACAAGTGCAATTGTTTAAAAATTACGACGTATGATACGATCGTCCACGAAAACAAAAACATAATAATAGGTGCATCGTACGATGTATATGACCGAGACTTAAATGCAACTATATGTACAATAAACAACACCATCTGCACAGGTACATGTGTGTGTGTCGTGAGTGTATTTGAGCGTCTTTTAGTCCTTCCTCGAGCAAATCAAACAACAAGAAACAACAAAGGGTAAAAGACAACTCCGAGAGACTGGTTATATATAGCAGCCACTTTGGAAACCTTTGTTTGGGTGTATCCTACAGCCAAACAACTTGAAACTTTATAGTGTTATCTTGGAAGCAACGAATGTCCTAAACTACTGCTTGACACTTGACTTAAACAAGAACTGTGATAGGTATCGTTTTACTTCTGGCGAGTAAGAATGTCAAACATGCAAAGTTAAGAACACTGTGATCGGTGGATCAACATAAAGGGATATGTTTGGTAAAAAAGGGTCATCTGAAGAGGGCTCTCAAACAAGCATCCCTGTTTACAGCGAGGTATTTCAAGTATTGGTGAAGAAGTTCTTAAAACAACAGAGAAAGGTAATCTTCTTCTGGAGTTGTCTTGCTATGCCCTAATCCTATATCTGCCACATGCGTAGTGTTTAAATTAAAAGTGGTTGAACCGAATTAACATTTCTTGGTATTGTTTTAGGCAAAAGTACACTTGCGAGGACAATACAGGTACTTCCTTGCTGTGTCTCCCTTACCATAAGATCATGGCAATACACTTACACGAAATTCTCTTGAGCTTGCTTGAAAAAGAGTACTCTCAATGAACTGACGCTATGATGAATTCCTACTGTCTCTATTTACATAATATTTTAGTACACATAAAATCATGAATTCAGTCCTGTTTCCAAGTGTAGGTCTAGAAGACCCTATCGTTACGATGGACAACAAAATCGCTGTGTTTACAAGTTTGCTCCTTATCTCTTCTTGTTGACTATGGTATGAATTTACACAGGAAACCGTCTCTACGTTTTCGTAGATGGACTTAAATCTCACCTGTGCCTCCCCCATCTTCTAAAGTATCCTCCTTGGCTTCTCCTGATGCCGACTGCCCCATGGTTAGCTCACATTTTTGCTCAAAAGTTCGAAAACAACTCTTCTTGGATGCGCTGCCCCAGACACCAGAGGTGCTTACTTACAGTGCCAGTGTTTGCCTTACCCGCACGGACCACTGGTAGTGAGACGGGTCAGCTATTTGGTCACTGGATTAGGGATGACCCGGAAGGAGTGTCACACTACTTTGCTGTTCGTCACGACATTTTTTCCCTTTTTCCCCCAATTTCTCTTTGTGTAATATAACCACGTGTATGTGTAGATATGTAAATATTGTACGTTTAGGAATGCATGTATAGCATCAACACCTGAGCTGCAGTGCAATGTGAACCAGTCAGAATTGCCCTGAGGAAGGTGACAGACGGTCACCGAAACGTCGGCTGTGAATAAAACACTTAGTTGTGTTAAAAGAGTCACTTTACTCGGTGACTTACCAACCTGATGAAACTATTCACGGAGGTTCCCTTAGTGTAGCTTACATGTACGTGGCTGGCATATTTCACTGCGAAGTTGTAATATTATAGTAAACGGACGCTCATTCAGTAGTCAAAGACCAAACATAGCAGTTGTTCAAGTTGTAAAAATGTCACCAATGACAAGACGGATTGCAGCAGTGCCTGAATTATGTTGACTTGTTTGGTTACCCTCAACTATATTTGGAGCCTATATCAACATCATATAAACACCTGTAATAACAAAGGGCCTGGTTGTAGCGCAATGTTTATAACTCAAACAAGCTTGCCTAAGAATTTCAAACCATTTTAAGACTGAAGAATTCTGAGATGCGTTTTTTATCAATCGTTCGGTGTAAATTTGCTAGCTGCTGCCGTGCTACGTGCCTGCGAAGCTGGTGTGTTATATCGGCTATACTGATACAGATATAGAATCGTAGAAAGATACTGATAGAAAATACGTTGAAGAGAGGGCTTTAAAATCTGTTTGACACAGTGGTTATCACAGAACGACAAGGCAAACGTGTGTGTGCCGAGTGTTAGGACGTTTGCAACACGAAACCTTTAGATCAATACTGATGAGTACCTGGGCATGTTCCTCCTTTGTTAGGCGGCGTGTCGGGCAGGTTAAAGACAGGTAACTCTCACCTGTCTTTATCTCATTTACATATCAATTCTGAGGCCCTTTTCTGCCATTTTCCCACTTAGCTTTGATCCGGTTCTAAGCCGGATTAAATCAAATCTATTCGGCTCGATCCGGACAATTTTGTCCAAGTGGGAAAGGCCACAATCTTTGGATAACTTCCTGGTCAACTACAGATCCCATTAATCATTTAGGCCCTTTTCTCACTAGGATAAAATTGTCCGGATCGAAGCCGGATCAAAGCCAATCTATTCGGCTCGATCCAAACAATTCTATCTGGCAGCAAGGGCCTTAGACTATGCCGAGAATGCACGCAATTTTCTGCCATAAAACGTTTGTATAAGGAAGGTGTCCATGCCTTTTCTGGGTTGGGACTAAACACCTGTGTTGACTCTGGTTTACGGCCATGTGAGTGATTATAGTACTAGTATCCATGTCCATCTAGTTCTATGCATGGATAGGATAGGGTTAGGATCAGTAACGCTACGGTTATGGATAGTCTCCCCAAGCCCAAGAACGTAGATTTGCTACAGCCACTTTTGTTGACCATCCAAAACCGTGCCTGAGCACAGTTCTTGATAAAGCACAGTTCTGGGTACAACAGGGTTGAACCTTGACTGTTCATATGTTGCAACGCTATGGATCTCCGCTAGGGTGTAATGTTGACAACAGAAGGCGTCATAGGAAGAATTGGGCGGCTATGTTTTACTTGGCTGTTTGTCCTGTCGTTTATACTGTTTGTTCTTGTCAGGCCGATGAAAGCACGGCAAAGAAGGGTTGGGAATACAGTCTTACAAAATGGCGTACCTTTCTCTGTGTGTGTGTGTGTGGGGGGATGTTAAGATGTAACCAAAGATAGAAGTTCATGTTCAGTGCCAAAGAAATATAAGAGAAGAACTTGTTAAGAGGGCACGACAAGAGGGAAATATTCGAAAGCTCAAAAAGCGACCAAGTGTACTTTGCAATAGTAACAAGCATGTCAAAGCTTCCCATGTGGTATAAGCTATACGCATTGTTTCTAAACCATTTCGTACGGACACAAAAAGATGATGTGTATGATCCTTCTCTAACTGGCATATTTTCACATCATCTAAAATTTCTGAGAGAGCTTTGAAGTCTTTCCTTATTTAACTTTAGACTGGTCATTTTGTATCGTATTTACAATCCCTTGGCACAGTGTTTACCGACACAACAAGAGAACCATCCGCACACATGCCTGTAGCACGTATGCAATAAAATTGAACGTGACTTTTGCATGTTGTCTCGCGTAGTGTACCTAGGCGTTACTTACTATGTATTGTACCAATGTTGTTGGATCAAGGACAGCAACGGACCTGGTAGTACTAGTCTGTCATTTCAACTGCCCAACTATCCAAATATTTATACGGCCGTGTGTGTATGTGCCGCTTAAGTGATTCGTATTTACGGATATTTTGTGAAAACAGTACTGTATTCAACAGTTGGTATATGGCTAAGATAATTTTGAAACGATGCCCGATTTGTTGTACATTACATTTAGCCCAACGCAAGCAATAGAACAGCACATGCCTACCTGTATGTACATTAAGGGTTCAGTTACATAGTTGTGTGATGGTGACACGGTCGCAAACTTTGGATATCCATACATGTGTGCTACAAAATTCACCTGTCTTATTATGGAAAAGGCTGTCTGAGATCCTTTTCGGCGGTTGGTTCTGTCCAGGCTTGAAAATCCTTCAACATCAAAACCGCACGACGTCCTACGACGTGATGTGACCACCTGTTAATAATATTTGACCCCCCCCTCCCCAGTAAAACATCACAATTTATCCCTATTCTACTGACCTTTAACATTGACGTTGGCGTTCGAGGTTCCTCCCGTGGTCTTCACAGAGTACTCCCCACTGTCCTTCGGTTCGGCGTCTAGGAATATCAGCTTGTGCGTCTTTCCGTCGGCCACAATCTTGATGTTCTTTAAGTCCTTGTCCGGGATTGGCTTGCCGTTCTTGAGCCACTGTACCTGCGCTCCGTCCTTGTGGACTTCGCAGGCCAGTTCCGCCTTGTCTCCCTCCGTCACTTTGACGGGCTGAAGCTCTTTGGTGATCTTCACGGGCTCGTCTGAAAATAAAGATTTGTAACGACGGGTGATCAGTTGTGCACCGCACATGTGAAATTTGTGGCGACGCTAGTGGTTATGGCGCCGTCATGCGAGCTCCGTACGAATTGCACTGACCCAAAGACAAGAATTAAAACTGACGCCATATAATATATTTGACTCTCAGTACCGTATATACCACTGACGATATACAGGGATGTGGCCATAACCTTCAGAGCAGATTCTACGTCAACAACGCAAACAACAAGACCACCTTACCGCTGCAGCCAATAGGCGATATGTAGAAACAAACATACAAACCAGCTTAAAAAACCCGTAAGAAAATTCAAACTCTACTACTGGATCAGTTAACGGATTTATTTCCGGACGTTTCGAGTGACTTCCATCACTCTTCTTCAGCGTCACAAATGAACAGAGAACCGATTCACTCTTATATACAAGTAACTAGAAAAACCGGTTAAACAACAAGTTCCGTAAGAAGCTTTATCATGTAAAAGAACGGTTCACTCAATGTACAGGAATTAGAACTAGAAAAACCTGTTCAACAACCGTAAGAGTCTTTGTCATGTAAGGAAGGTTCCTATGGTAAGAATTACCATAGGAAAAGTTACTGTCCCTTGGGCTGTGGCAGGGCGGGATCCCATGTGCTTGAGAGTTCTATGCGCAGTCCCCCCTGCCTGTTCAGGGTGGGGTTAAAAACCTTTATTTATTTATTGGTTTGGCTGTTCAACCCTCACAGCCAGGGCAGCTCATCTAACGAGTGGCTATTACAAAGGGTTTGTCCTGCTGACAAGGCGTGATAAAACATTACAGCAACATATAAGATGGCCTACCTTAACAAAACCTTAAGTTTGAACCCCTAACGAACCTGTGACATTGATCTTGCAGTTGGATTTCCCGTCTTTAGTGACCAGAGTGTACTCTCCTGCGTCGTCCTTCCCCGGGTTTTTGATGACGAGTTTCCGCTTCTTCCCGTCAGCCACGATCTGAAGCTTCCCGCTGTCCAACAGAGCTTTCGGGATCGGCTTGCCGTTCTTCAGCCACGTCACCTGAAGGAAAGGTATATTTTTTTACCATCTTTATTATATACATGATGAACGATTTGTTTAAAGTTAATACAATATGTACTTTAGACACAACACAAAGAAGTTCTCTCGCCTACAGCTTTCGACCAGTTACTCTGGCCTTCCTCAGTAGACTGACCCAGTGATGCTTGTCAGTGAGGAAGACCAGAGTGACTGGTCGAAAGCTCCAGGCGAGAGAACTTCTTTGTGTTGGATCTTAAGTTTTACCTTTAGACATGTAACTACCAACACACATGAACCTTCATGATAAGATGACAGATTGCTTGGATGAAGTCTAGGACAACCCTTTATCTCTTGATACAGCAATAAGAGAAGGGCGCAAGACAAGTAAGACAAGGACAGTTTACAAGTTACTATGTGCATCGGACATTTTGGTGTTTCAGTTGATGGTTGTTTGAACAAAGAATAAAGAGTAAAAACCTCTCCGTCAGCCTCCGACACTTCCGCCTCCAGGGCAGCTTCCGGTGAGTTCTCTACCACGTCCGCATCCCGTAGTCCGGACACGATGTTCACGGGACGATCTGGGTTGGGGAGTCAACATATAAGTCAACAGGAGAAAAACTAACTAAATCCAACACTACAGTGACTACACAATGTACTACGGACAACGCCTTTGTTGAGGCGTCGCAAATAGACCGATTCGGATCGAACGCGTCGAACCCTCTGTTCTATTTCAAACACCTCGAAGTTTCGAAGGTGTTCGAAATAGAACATGTTAAGGGTTCGATGTCAGGGGTTCGATCCGGAATGGTTTACACAAACAGCGCGTGTACATTGCATTGCAGGGCCGTAACACACCGAAGCACGAAGAAGACGCTAAAAAAGGGGCTAGAAAGCTGTATGTTAGAAGAGTTACACTAAGTTACAGCCAATAAAAATACACGTCTATGCACTAAGGCTTGCTAGCGTACGTTCTGCATCAAACCACGCAAAAGCACTACGCATGGCCACAGCAAAGACACCACAGACAAAATGTGTACTTGCACACAAATATGTAGGCTTGCTAGCTGCTACTTGCTACAAATCAATTAAAAGCATTGCGTATGCTGTAAAGCATCTACGAGCTTTCACTACGGTTGCCAGTCTACTGTACAGCATCAATGAGTCTTTACTGCAATGCATTGTTATACGGCCATCGCAACCAACAGGTCTTGATGAGTCCACCGATTGTCGCACTAGCAAGTAAGCTGTGCTACAGGATACCAAAGCATTGTGGAGACATTCATGGCAGGAATGACCTCCCAATCTACTTTCTACATCCAAGCGCATGCTGCGATGCATCTATGAGCATTTTCTGCCATTGCCACCAACAGGTTTTGGTGGATCCGCTAAGAGTTGCGCTAGCAGGTAAACTACTAAAAGCATTGCCGTGGAATCCGCCGCAAAATGCAGCACAAACCTGCGACGTTCAGTTTACAGGACGATTTCCCGTCGTTGGTGACCATGGTGTACTCCCCGGCGTCGTCTTTGCCGAGGTCCTTCAGCTTGAGTTTCCTCTTGTTGCCGTCTGCTACGATCTGAACTTTCCCACTGTCCAACAGATCCTGGGGAATCGGCTTGCCGTTCTTCAGCCATGTCACCGCTCCGTCAGCCTCCGACACTTCCGCTTCTAACGTCACTTCCGGGTCCTTGTCCATGGCCTTGACGTCCTTGAGCCCGGACTTGATCTTGACGGGACGGTCTGATGATGTGCGTGTAAAGAAGGGGTACAATTCAGATGATGATGTATCCAGAACCGTGCTTTATCAAGAACCATGCTTCATCTAGAACCATGCTCAGACATAGTTCTGGATGGTCCATGCCAATCCAGAATGGTGCCTGGGGCAGATCTACGTTCTTGGATACGCGGAGACTATCCAGAACCGTACCTGATTCTAACCCTAACCCACTCAAGCACAGTACTAGATAGCACGCTTCTGGATACAACAGATGCGCATGCCTTCCAAGCAAACTACAAATTTGCTTGCGAAGGTGCCATGCAGAATACCAACGT